TCATCGGGGGATTGCACAAAGGAAGTGAGATTTGAGGAGGAGTGCAGAGGTCAGAGGGGATGCTTAGGCACAGGGGTCAGTTTAGAAGGAACCAAAGTGCTCTGAAAACTTATGGAAAGGGGAAGAAAAGGATTTCTGATGAGATTTATCTCCAGCCGTTATTAATCTGCACAAGGAAGAAGGTGGGAAGTGTTTTCCAGTCTCCATCAAGCTCAGCTGATTCCTGTAGCCTGCCAGTGTCTGCAGCCTGGCAGCAGCAAAAAGGCATACCAGTTTTTTCTGCTTTACAGAGCTCTGCCTCAGTATTTCAGAAACACTGTTGCTTGTGTAGAGCACCTAAATTTTTCAGAAACTACCTTGAATTGGTGCTCAGGCAGACAGCTCCGAGGCCAGCCCAAGCAAAGCTGTGTACACAGTGCTGGAGGGTGGCGGGCGCTCTAGGTAAGTGATCTTGATAGGTACATTCTGATTGATGGGGGAGTTTGTCTCCCAAACTGTCACAGGGTTTATAGAGGTGCCACTCAATACCAGTGCTGGAATTGCTTGTCAGAGCACCTGGCTACCAGAGCAATGGGGATTGGAGACAGAGCTGTAACTTTGTTTTTTCTCTGCTTAATGGCCCTGGTGTCTGACCTGCCTGCTCACTCCTGTTTGTCTGGACCTTAAGGAGGCAGCTGGGATTAAGACTGTCAGAGGATTGTGCTGCTTTAGCATCAGGAGGCTAATTGTACTGGGGCTGGCAGCGTACGACAAGCGGTTGCCTCCTATCAAATGCATGGCAAGAGCAAAAAATTCTTCAACAAGGAAAGGGAACGATACAGGAGAGTCTGCGTTTGTTCTTTTTTCATCTGAAAGCAGCGTTTTCAAATTCACACGTGGAATTACATTCTTCAGGCCCTAGGTGACTCCTGGTAAGAGTTGCAGCTGCTCCTGTGAATAACAGCCTCAGGATTGTGTCTCTTGTGAATTCCTAGGTCAAACTTACAACTTAACATTCACTTGTCAGATTTCACTTTATTAACACATTGGGATAAAGTTCTGGTCCTGAGCATTGACCTCTGGATAGCGTCACTGACTTTAGAGGTCCGCTCTAGGCAGCGTTGCTAATGGCCGTGAATTACTGCGTGACCTTCAGAAGCCGCGCCTTGCTGGAAGAACCCTCCCTGTTCCCAGTGCTCGCTACTGAATTGCAGATCACCCAAGTGTGTTGTGGCAGAGGAGCTTTGGGAAGCTCCCATTCTCATCTAGCAGGTCCAAAACAATGCTGTAGCAAAGGCCATTTTATTCTGCTTGCCACCCTGTGCACTCCATTTCACATTTTCCTTGCTCCTGGATGGCAGCACACGCTGCCGGCAGGAGCTGGAAGTTGTGAGCCCTCTTTACACTTGAGCTGAGTTAGTGAGAAGCAGGTGTGATTGGATCAGGCCTTCCTTGCATTTAGTGGTCCTCTTAATCCATTTATAACAGCACTTGTCCAGAAATCTGGTTTGAATGAGCCTGAGATGAATGAATAATGTCAAGCAGTTCAGACGTCAAATATTTGAACAGCTGCGTGGGTATTTTCACTGGCTTTGTGCATGGAAGCAACCCCAGGAAGTTAGACAAGGAGAGTCAGGTTGAAATTGTGGCACCAAACCCCAGCCCACCAGAACTGACCTCAAAATCCATCCCTGCTGCAGATGAAAGGACGTTAGGATGCTGGTGGCAGGCCATTTGTTCCGTAGGTGATGCTGGACTGAACTTTGCATCCTGTTCTTTGGCATTCTCTTGCGTGCAGTGGTGGTACTGCATTTATGGACCTTTTGATTCACATCGGAAACATGTTCTGCAGATTTTGGTTTTCCCTTTTTTTTTTTTTTAAAGCATCCTCTAAAGTCCTAAAACTCATAGCACAGCTTGTATTCAAAGTCTTTTCTGGGTTCACAGAGGTTACTTTGTTTAGTGTACAGTTTCTGAGTCGGGTTTTTTTACTGTGTTGCAATGGACTACACTTTGTCATATTAAAAAAAAAAATCCATATTTGGTGAAAATCTGAGAGTTGGATCACGTTACTGTGGCTTCCTTTAGGTCTTGGCTGGGGAATCCTTGTTTGATCAGAAAATAAAATTTACCCTTCTTCCCCTCTTTTTAACCTATGAACTTCTCTGCTAAGTTCTCAGTCACTCTCCTCTGTGACTGAACTGCTGTATCAGATCGTCACAGTGTGTGTCTCTCTTCATAACACATACTGTCCAAACCCTTGCCCTGTACCCTCCCTGTGTGGGGAGGATAGTACTCTGTTGGGAATGCAGTGGTTCCTATTATAGAGCTAGATTCAGCAAAGGGTCTGTGGACCATTTTCCTTACGGACTTAAAAGGGATTTTCTTAAGTACAAAGGTTTTGAGAGCAAGGACACCAGGATTCTGAAGTCAAGGTACCTTATATTTGTAAATTGTATCGCAGTAAGTAGATCTTCTTTTCTTAAGCTCCAGCCATAAACCACAAGTTGGCTGGAGTCACTTGGAAACAAAATTGATGGAAAGGTGCATGCTTGGTATGTGCTTGGCATCCTTGCAGAGAGAGGGACTTGGAGAGCGCTCCCCCTTATGTTCCCTCTTTTGGACACCTTTCCCCCCTCCAAGGCACTTGCTTCAAGTATTCATTGTCTGGCTAGTGTTCAGATCACCTCTGGGACTGGCCAAGTCACAGCTCCAGCTTTGCATGATTTATGTTTCCCTCAGCTACAAGAAAAATGAAGACCTGTGTGTCCAAAGTTTATGGCCTTTGAGAAGTGATGGGCTAAAGTAATGCCAAGTGCAGGGGCTGGTGTTACTGCAGGTTAAATGCCATACCTGTAAATTACCACCCCATCGCTCACTGCGACTTCTAAGGCAGCTTTGAAAGACTATCCAGCTTCTTTGTCAGGTCTCTCTTACTCCTCTAAATCTTCTCCCAAACACTGTGATGAACTGAGGGATTGAAAATTTACTAGGTGAGCCATTGCAGCAAGAGAAGGCAGCTCATGACATGTGTTGGCTGGCAGCATGCAGCCAGGACGTGGAACACTTCATAAGGGTCTGCTGGAAGAGGGCTGCCCCAGCAACACTGCAGAGCTGACCTGCGGGCATGGCTCCTGCACTGCCTGGCACGGACGGCGAATGCTGCGTTGTTAGTGCTTAGTTGTGTTACCTCTGCTGGAAATTAAGGCTGGCAATTACTTGGAAGTAAAAGGTAGTTTATGCTTCTAGGGAAAGGTTAGTATTAAAATCATTGTCATGCTATGGTTATCACTCGTTAAGGACCTTCTTTATATTCAGGGAAGAGAAATATCAAATCCATATAAACAGATTTTATTGGGGGCCTAATGAATCAGCAAGAGCATCCGTTCCTAGAGAGCGACAGTGAAGAACTGTGTCTGCATTGTGTCCTTGGAAATGAGACCTTTGCCTTGCCCCGCTCTCTGCACAGGTGCAGACTGTTAGAAATACAGCTCACACTTCTGAGCTGTGGAAAGTGCAAGTTTGCTGCAGACAGCACAAGCTTGTGTATCTGTGCTGGTGAGACCAGTGGAATGAACAGACTCAGACATCTGTAGCACTAAGAGGGCTACCCTAGAGCTTCGGAATGTCCTCGTTCTTCAGACGTGCACCTTATATTCAGTGCTTCTACATTAATTTTAAGCTGTCTTCTACACTTAGAACCACATTCACAGTGCAGAAATATACCACTTTGGGGGCATTGGTGCACAGACAAGGCTACCTCTACCTTATTCTTCCAGCGTTTGCCAGTGGGATGCACTCCCTGGTCTAGCCACAGACTTAGGTCACCAGACATCTGGATGTGCCAGGTCCTTCATGCTCTAGCAGGTACCCTCTGTGTGTGAGCCCGGTGTCCAGGTCTGCTGTCTGGACAGAGCGAGGCTACGTGAAAGAGCCTACTGGAGGCAGCCAGAGAGAGCCAGTTTCTGTCTGTGTAGCTTATGTCTCCAAACAGCTTAGATCTGCTGTGGAATTGAATGCAAATGAGAATCTTGCACCACCCTAGGGTTCAGATCTTTGCTTAATTTCCAATCTCATGGGAAGGAGTGTGTCCAGTGTTAGATCACATAAAAGGTAAATATTTGTCTTCCTTAGTTTCCATTAATAGATCTTGGGCAGCAAATACCATGTGAAGGCTCATCTATATAGGTGCCTGCATGGAGATTCAATTAAAAGAAGCCTGGTTACAAACAGCAATAACAAAGACAACAAAATGCTTGAGAACAAAAAAAGATGTATATGTTGATAGAAAGTGGCACTTGTTACGCAGTTCAGTCTCAGGTGTAACTGTTTACTCTTGCTTCCTTCTGGAATTGGGACTGGGCTTGTGCCTGATCCTCCCCTGTTGAAAGTGCAGGACTCTTGCTGGCTTGCACTGGAAGTTGCTCATGTAAGAAATGCTTGTAAGGGGCTGTTAGTGACTGTGGAGTCTGATCTTCTCCAAGAAAGAGGTTTGGTTTGCTTAAACATTTTATATTGTAAAAATCTTAAGCCATAACTAAATGCATTTAAAATATATATATATATATTTCTAATTGTATTTTAGCCTCTGCCTACCCTCTGCACCTGAAGTAGGGACTAGTTCAGAATGTCCCTGTGACCCTCTCTTACCTGCTAGTACTGTGGTTTTTGTGTTAACCATTTCTATGAAAAACCAGATGTCTCTATTTTGCTTCAATTTTTTGTCTGCCTTTGAGAGAGACACTTCCAGTGCCTTCAACTTTCAGATAACTCGTATGGAGAGCAAAAGTTCAAGAATGTTTAATTTTCAGTGTTGGGGGGCATTTTAGAACATAAAATCCTGCATCTGTTTCTGTGAGTGTTTTCTGTGCAGTCTTCAGAAAATTGTCCTTGTGCAGTCTTTAGAGATGGTACCTTTTGTGAAGGACAACCTGCAGACTGGTGCTGTCCCACCATCCTTAGGAGATCTCCTTCACTTTGTCTCCCATTCAAATACTCATCCACGTTTTATTTTCTTCCAGGTTCTGGATTTATCATGTGCAGCGGCAAGGAGAATCCAGACAGCGACGCTGACCTGGATGTGGATGGGGACGACACACTTGAATACGGGAAACCACAGTATCGTTTTTGAAAGGCTCTTACTGAGAGGGAACCTTAGACTTGCCTCTTCAGCTAGCTTTCATACAGCACTGCCCTGGGTAGCGGTGGATAATCTGTGTCCAGCCCTACTGGAAATGGCACCGTCTTCCCCAGTTCCCGTGTTATTTGGACTAGGAGGGATTTTCGGCTGCTGCCTTTGAGATGCCTCTGTAGATGCAGCACTGCTGCAGACCCAGTTGGTGAAGTCTATAGGAGACATTGCAGGAGATCAAAGTTAGTGCGTCTGTATTCTGTTTCATAAGCAATCTCTTGTCTCCATCCCGGTTTCTTCTGCATGGATGGCTTTTCCTGCTTCACCGGTAGAAATTGAGTTTATTTTCCACAAGACACACCTTTGTTTTCAGGGATTTTGTGCAGTAAACATTTCAAGCACTATTCACCTGCCGCTCTGAGAGAGTCAATTTTTTTCCCTTCATTTGACAGTTCATGGGCAGAACTGTCATTAAGGGCAGTTTTTGGGAACTTCTCCATCTGGGAGCCAGGCTCTTCAGACACCGCTCTGGGAGAGCTTTGGGCAGACTTCTGCCCTGCAGCAGCTGTACAACCATCAAGGAAGAATTCCTGCAAGAGTATTAGGCAGATGTTGACTTAGTTGTGATGAGGAGGAATGTATAGCTATTGAATTAGATTTTATTGAAACCTGTACCACCCTTTAAAACTGAAGCCCCAGCCATTAGCTGGTATGAAATCTCTGTATCTCGAACAGAAATTATGGAATTGTGCAAGTTAGGCTTGCAGAGGTTGAGGAACTGGTTTTTCCCTGCTAAGAGGCTGTGGCATCATGTTGCTGTCAAAAGATTTTCTGTTTCTTTCCACTTAAAAAAAAAGCTTTAATCCGGGATTTAAAAGCGACCCCCTCCATGGATACCAGCCTGTCTTCTTTTGAGGTGTTCCCAGTTGGAATGAATTTGTTCTGTATCAAAGGTAGTGTCCCAACCATCTCAAAAGCCTTTCCGCTGTCTGTAGCAAGGCTCTACATTCCTTAACCCCTCGTGCTCAGGTACACAGAGGCAGACGTTATCCCTTGCACTGGGGAAGAGCCAGGTGAAGCCAAAGAGAGGGAGGCGCTCCGAGGTGCTGTTTTAAAGTAAGTACTGTGTCTTTCTAATTTGCTTTTGTTGCTTTTGGGGAGATCTCAATTTGTGGAAAATACCCATTCATCTGAGCGCAAGAGTCACAACGAGAGAGACTTAGAAAGAAGCAGTGTGATGAGTGGGTCTCCATTTCTACCTGAGCAGCCTTGTAAAGCCTCCCTGCACGCTCTCCCTCCCTTAACCGCCCCGTTGCCCAGCCAGTGCCATCTTCTCCCTGAGTGGTGCTGGTCAGAAGGTGAATTCTGGCAATGGGGAAACTGTGCTGTACTAAATAAAGTGTTATGCATCATCTTGCTTCATGGTGAAATGTGGCCTCTTAGTATAGCAGTATAACGAAACGCCATCCAAATCTTGTTCAGCACATTGGAAGTCTGGTACCCAGGGTGTGATTTCATTTCATCCCATTATGTGTTCTGGGGTACACAAACTAATCCTTCTGCCTTCAGCTCTGGGGCTGGAGCAGGTCAGGGCAGGATGTGTGCTCTGCCCACATACATGGAGAATGTAGGCAGCCAGCGTTCAGTGCACTTGGGGAAGCATTTCAGGCAAATAAAATGAGTCTTAACAGGGAGGTAGGATTGCTTTCTAAGCCCTCTGCCCTGCATAAAACAGGGCTTAAATTACCCCTCTATCTTTTTCACTGAGGGATCCTGTGAGGTCAAGGTTGAAGTGATTGATAGAGCAGTGAAATGAAGTTTTCTTACTGCTTAGCCTGTCACAAACAATAGTTCAAAATTAGGTTCCACTCCATGGAAAAGTGGCATTTGCCACACTGGATCCAAACCATTGGTCCGTTCAGTACTTTGCTAACTGTGCTCGTCCATAGGCAGGGCCCCAAAGATACTGAAGCTCCTTCACAGCCAGGAAAGTGGTACTGTAGCAGGAGGATATCGGGGTATCCCGTATCTGGCTGTGGACACTTACTGCTTCATGAGACAGTTGAGGACCTGAGGCCAGGAGACCCAGTTCCTTCATGTGGCTTGCACCTAACACATTGTTTTGCTGTTTGGGCAAGGTCCTCGCCCATCTGCTGGATTTGTTTGCCCATTTGTAAAACAGGGGAGATTATGTTGCTTGTAAAAGCACTTTGAAATTCTGGCAAGTTTCTGTAGAAATACAGTAGGGAAGCTGATGCCCTGAAGCATGAGTCTGTGTTGCCTTTTGAGTCCAACTGTCTTGGCACATAGAGCTAGAATGTTATACAGTCACGGGTGCACAGCCTGCTATGACTTTCTGTACAGTCTCTGTTACTGGCTTGCAAGAGAATGGGCAGGGTTAGGAGTTGTCTGTACTTTAATGCTGCTGTTCTTCACGTGGGAATATGGGAAAGATGGGGCTTGTGAAGGTGTAAAGTTATTCTTAAAGGGAGAAGCTCTTGCAACAGAAGTAAGGTTTTCATCTTTGAAATTGTGTATTCAAAAATGAGCCATAAGGTCCCAGGTGCTGTTTGAATCCCAAGCCTTCAGTCAGCATCACAACCCCTGTGTGATTCAGCTGAGGTCGCAGCTGGAAGTGCAGGTTGGGAGAACGCTAGAGGAAGTGTGGACTAGCACAAAAACACCTCTGGCAGCAGGCTGACTGCTCACATTTTGAAGCCTAGACTGATGGATAGCAGTATTGAGAGTGAGGTGGTGTGTGCGTTGGTGAGTGGAAGGGCTTGCTTCCCCTGAGTGTCAAAATTTTCCACAGTCAACCTTTAGCATTCTGCTCTTTTTCTCTTTTAGTGGTGGCACACCCAGTACTCGAATAACACCGGAGTTTTCTAAATGGGCCAGCGATGGTGAGTGTTGAACTTGTAAATTATTAATTTGTATGCTACAGGAGGGCTGATAGATATTCCATATCTTCTGATTGCCAGTAATTAGGCAAATGGTAGTTACAGATGTTCTTGCACAGTGCCAGCAGATATGTATGCACATACAATCACACTCTCTTTTTGAAACTTTACAGCACAATTAACTGTAGTCAGTGTCAGCTGAGGGAATTCCCAAAAATGCAACCTTAACTGGTATGGTGGTAAGAAACAGGAGTTGGATTGACTTGCTATCGTGTCACTAAAAGACAAACTGCTGCATCACAGAGGGAGCCATCAGAGCTTGACTATGTGATGGTGGTGTTCAGCTGCTGGGGGTTTAAACTGCTCAGGCACCCGTTGCATGGGCTTTTTTCAACTGCTTTCTTATCATCTTCCTTCTTTAAAAGGGTATGCTAGAGACTTGTGTCATGGTCTTGTCCTTGCTAGCCTCTGTATGGCAAAAAAAGCCTGCAGCTCTGGAGCCTGTGCCTTTCGAGTGGGAACTCTAGGATCTGTCCTACTTCATGACCTGTAGTTGAGACTCCAGAGCAAACAAGTGAATGTGGAATTGTACCTTTGCATGCCTTATTTGAAAGCTCATAGCATAAGGGGGGGGGGAGGGCGGTGTTAAACCCATTTGTCTGATGGGTTTTTTTATTTAATGCCAGCAGCACTGGAAGTGTAAGCAGCAATCTAGTGGAAATATGAGAATAATAAAACCTGGCGCTTTCCATCTGTAGATGCCAAATCCATTTCCAGAGCTGGGCAGTGCTGCTTCAGCTCCCTTAGGAAGGGAGCTGAAGCTCAACGACCTGAAGAGACTTGTCCCCCTGATTTTGTTCCCTGTTCTGTTACTGTAATGCTTTGGGCACTTGATTCCCAGCCTTGAAAGTACCTACAAGACATAACTGCTTGATTGGGGGGGAGAGGCGGGGTGGGTAGAATCAGTTTTGCCAAGGGCATGATGATTACATGGAGAACGTAGGGTATCTATCGCAGGCGTTTTCCTCTGTGGGTTAGGCAATCACATTTATTTTCTGTGATGTAGGAGCACTCGCTTCTAGGTGTGTTCAGCTTCAGTAGCTACAGTCACAGAGGTGATGAGGAAGCAGCCCTGACGGCACTTGCTGTGAGCTGTTTTCTTCATACATTTTACTTGAAGCCATGGTGCTGAAACTACAGCCCAGGGGCTGGCCCTAGGACAGTTCATCTGGCTCATTTCCTGCTGGTATCTCACATCCCCTCCAGTGCTGGGAGGAGCCATGGGACTGCAGGTAGAGGAGAGCTATGAGCAGACTGTTCTGTTGTACTAGTTACCTGGCATATATTTTTCTCCCTGTCTGTGTCTGGGGGGTCTGGGAAAAAGGGAAAAGCTGAGAGCAAGGTCTGGGCTGGGTGGATTTGCTCCAGATCCACCTTTCCAAAAGTACACTTTGGCATGGCAGCTGCTTCAGACGTTTCTGAATTAAATCCTGGCTTAAACAACTAGAACATCTGCAAAGGTCAGTCAGTATCTTCAGCCTCAAATCATAGAAACATGCTGTCCAGAGAGAGGGCCTCTGCGCCAGACAGGGACACGTAGCATTGGTCTCTTCTCTCTCTTTCCGAGAATTGACATGAAAATGACTCATTGGGGTCCTCTGCTTCAGAAACTGTAACTCGTTCAGACTATTTCATTGCAATGATCAAATGTTCTCTTACTAATTTGTCTGTTCTTCTCTCAACAGAAATGCCCTCAACAAGTAACGGTGAAAGCAGTAAACAGGAGACCATGCAGAAGACCTGTAAGAACAGTGACATTGAAAAGTGAGTGTAAAGTGTATGGCTTTCGTTTTTCTTGTTTTAGGAACCATAGGGTCCTGTCTGATGTTCCCAGAAGTGCTAGACTGAAGGTAGGCATATTTGAAACTTTTACCACTGAGAAGGGAAATTTTCCCTCCAGCATGAGCCTGGATTGGACCTACTGGTGTCCCGACTTGCTACTGCTGTGACCATGGAGGGCTTGTGGGGAGTTCTCCCCTAGATACCTGCATGGGCAGGTGCCCAGTGACAGGGAATTAAGAGCAGCTTCCAGATGGCTTCTCCACTGCAAATTGCCATATTTTAAAAAAGGCTAATAGATATATCTATACTTTCCGTCGTATTCTAGGTAAAGGGGGGTTTTCAAATATGTTGTATGGTGCATAACATCCTAGACTAGAGCTGGAACTTGGACAGGAGGTGAAGACTCAAACCCACTCTAACCTGACAAAAGCAACTGGCAGCTTGTACCTGGATTTTTTTATTCCCCCGTGCAAGATTTCTACTGTCAATGTATCTATGTGATCCTGGTTTTGCTGGAGAAGTGACCTTGTTGTTGTGTCTTGATTTTTGAGAGCAGTCCTTCACATGGTCTCTGCTCTGTCTTTTACATGTATTTTACTTGAGAGATGGTGTCCCTGGCACATTTCAGGATCTCTTGACAGATCAGGCAGCCTGGCAAAGTATATCTTTGCAGTCAGGGGTTAACTGGGGAAACTCACAATTGCGGAGGAAACTTTTAACGCTGCTTTGCTGTCTCGGCGCATTCCTTTTTACAAGGCTTTTTATTGGCATGTCCCAAACGTGGACTGTCTGCTGTTTGATGCTTCTCGGTGAGCAAACTTTGTCTGAGGACCACTGAGTTTGGGAGCTCACAGGTCAGTGCAGAAGCAGCTTTGTCCTTAGAGTGAGCCAACCATTGCACGCTGTCTTGGTAGCAAGGACTCGTCCCTTCAGCCCTCAGATGTCAGCCTCTGTCTCAGCTGCTGCTTGGCTTCCCTTTGGGCCTCCTGCCTGTCAGCCCAGCAGCCCTCCACCCTCCAAGATCCACTCCTATTGAAAATCTTTAAACTGCAGGAGCTGAAAGGATTTGACATTTTCCAGAACACTTGAGCTCAAGTGATAAAATTGACATAGCTTTAATAATCTGATCAAAGAGGCTTTAGCTAGCACCTTTTGAAGGATCCCAGAATCCTTTCCAAACAACACTCATGCTAACGCTGCTGTGAAGTGGGGGGAGCGTGTGTGTGTGTGCATGCACATGTATGCATGCACACCTTGCTCTGCAATAACCTTGCCCTGCTAAAGCTTCAGTTCTGCAAAAGGTGCGAAAAGTCAGCAAAACCCAATAGAAATTAAGGGCAAAGCCTTAAATATCTTGCTGAGTCTTTCCAATAACACTGATTTTTTTAAAGTAGCAGGGAGAGCTTTTCGTTTAAAGTGCTTTATTTCACTAAGGTTCAGAAAGCAAGATGCTGTTTCAGGTTGAGAATTCCTAGCTGCTTTTTTTTTTTTTTCTTCACCTTCTTTCCTTTGAGATTCGTGATAAATAGTTTCTGTTCTGCCATTTAAGGAGTCTGAATGCTCTATGTGCGTGTCTGTGTAGAGGGGTTCTGTTAAATTAATTGATAACAGGGATCAAAGCTAGAAGCCTACAGAAAAGGAGGGGGAAGGGTTTCACACTGTCTGGCTGCTTCCCACTCCACTGCTGAGCCGTGATATATGGCGACCCAGCCCAACAGGCTAAATTGATTCATCTCTAGTTCCTGTTTCTTAATCTGGAGCTAAATTGGTTTCATTTTTCTTGTTTTGGGTGGCACTTACAGGAAGTTTTTGGCAGCATCGCTTTACTCCATTGTTCGTAACTTTAATTTTTGCCTTTAAATCTGAGCGGTATTGATTGGCATGTTAAACCCCGTGTAGCATGTGATTAGCATTTTTAAAAGTGTCCAGAAGCACATGGCTTACCACCTGTGTCAGCCATGCTCACCATTCAGAGCAGCAGCTAATAGAGTTAGCAGTGATCCGCGTATTGATCCTTCTCTCATAAGAATGACGTTCCTTCACCCTCCCCTCTTCCAAAAATAAGTCTAGGCAAGGAGAGCGGTGTGGTTTTGTTTGTTTGTTTTCTAATCCATTAATACAGTACAGCGAGCTGTCCTCTTTTTGGCATGCAGCTGAAGCTCTTTGCTTGAGCAAGTTAATTTAATCTACATTTAGGTTTTTGTGGAAGATTGTCTTGCATACAGATGGAGTTTGTTTGTTGCCCTGCTCCTTGTGCCGTGCCATGTCATCAGTAGCTTCAGCAGGTTGACCTCATCTGTGTTGTGCTGAACTTCAGATGGCAGCCACAGGTAATGAGAGAGGTCATACTGGTGCCACCTCTCCTTCCCAGCACTGTGGGGTGTCTCAGCCCTGCTGTGCTTTTCTCATCTTGCCAACATGAGGTGTATGGGAGACACTCTGGGGTGCTGAAGGCTCATGGGGAGAGGTAAAGGAGTGTTGCATCGGCTGGGCTTTGCGCATCTGCTGAAGACGTCAGCCACCAGCTTTGCAGTGGCTGGGATCTTCAACAGACAGGCAGAGCTCAGCTGGTGCAACGCTCCTTTACCTCGACTCAAGATGCAGCTTTGCTCAGAAAGAGCAGTCAGTCCCTGATTGCCCAGGCATCCTCCCCGACTCCTCCGCCAACGTTGTGCTCTCAGCTGAAGCACTGTTGCGCGCAGAGAGCTGCAAAAAGCACCTTCCCTGCAAAAAGTCTTCTTCCCTCCTCCCTCTTGAGATGCTGCCTGCGAGGGTCTGGTGCCATTTCGAAACCGAGGTTCCCCAGGGTTAAAAGCCAGCATCTTAATTCAGAGTGCCAATGTTCAATTTTGCTTTCTGCCACCAGACTAGATTGCAGGCCAGCGAGAGAGTCTGGGTTAGTGGCCCACTGGGTCACCTCCCATTTGTTTTCCTCAATTTTGTGTTGTCATAAATTCATTCCAGCCCGTTGTGGTTGATCAGTTTATCTCCGCCGGGGCAGGGAGTGCTGCGAGCATGATATATGGCACAGAGCATTGTAGCCAGCCTCTCCATGAATCACTCCAGCTGTTTGGTGTCAGCCCCAAAGCAAACAGGACCCGGCCGCTGAGCGTTGACTACGATGAGCTCAGTATGGGAAGAGACATGACGTATGAATGTTTATTTAATATTTCTCTAATATTTCCAGCGGAGTGTGGCTGTGCCTTCTTGGGGGATGAAAGGGGGGGAGGTTGAAGAGGGAAACTCTAATCTGTTGGGGTGGGTCATAAATCAGGCAGACAACATCATTAATCAGGGATGGGACAGAAGTGGAAGGAGGTGGGACTGGAGCTGCCATCCTCGGTGGGAAGGGGGCTGTGCTCTTTTTTTTCGTAAAACAAATCTTGTTTCTGATTCCACTTGGCCCCAGCCGCGCTGCCCACATAATAGCAAATCTGGACACAAGGCTGTTAAAGTGAGTATGCTACCTCCACTATAAACCTTGCGATACGAGCCTGCCAAGCATTAAATCCCTTTATAATTATCTTCTTTATGTAACACTTCATGCTCATCATGCTTCATTGGATGAGACGCTCATTGGGTTAAAAAGAGGGTTTTAGAGACAAAAAGCAATTGTATTTGTTTTATTTTTCTCGTCTCCTCTTTCCTCCCCTTCCCTTCCACCTCACCTCTTTCCCATCCAGCTGTTCCTAAAGCATCCGCTCCAGAGGGACTCTGGCGTGACAGCGCAGGAAGGAGCATCAGTTAAAATTAAACCAAGTTTAGGTTGGGGTCCTTGTGCAAAGAGCCAAGCGTGTGAGAGCTGTCAGGGAGCTGGCAGTGTCTGTCGTGGGGACCCTGCTCCTAGACAGATGGGTTGAGGTGGGAGCAGTGTGAAGCCAGGGGATTAGCAGAGGCCTGAAAGGGAAGGAGCCACGCTTAAGCTGGTGTGTCAGAGAGAAGCAGAAGCTGTTGTGAATTCACACCAGAGGATAAGCGCCCCCCAGCCTTTCTCCATAGTGTCACACTATTAATAGATTTTGGTGGGAGACGAGAACATCATAAAGTAAAGATAGGGTTCAAAAATTAATTGTAGTCATAAATGAACTAACTCTTTGTGCTCTGCTAAGAGAGAGCATGGTGCTGCTGGTGGTCCAGTCCTAATTCAGCCTGTGTAAACTTGAGGCAGGATCCAGGAAGCTGAGCTGAAACATGAGATTGTCAAAGCCAGGCTGAGGAAGCACTGCTGGGCTGGATGCTGCTTGTGTCCAGATTTTTGTCTTTATTAGGCTTTAGTCCTTCCTTTCGGTAATTCAGTGTAATGTGTGCTGGTGTTCAGTGTTGGAAAGGTGCGTGGGTAGATGTTCCATTTCTTTATGAAGTGAGACTTCGGCATTACTTCATCCTTTAGGTTGTGCTAGTGGAGGCAGGCTGCTGGGCTGCGTTTCTTTATTCTGCGCCCTTTTAACTGCTCAGTAGAAATTCTGTGTGCCAATGATGGTCTCAAATGTTATTACCACTGCGCCAGCTGAAATTGTATCAGCGTCGTGGTTCGTCAGAGGCTAGCGGTTAACGAAGCTCAGCGGGGCAGGCTGACGGTTTGAGCTCAGACCTGGGGGGACGGCGAGATCTGTTTTGTGCAGCTGTGTCCAGAGGTTTAGCCTAATTCTCATGCCTTGGGGCAGTTTTCTGTAGATTCATATTTGACATCTTCATATAGGGAGAGACTCTTCTGTCTGCTGAGCCTGTGGTGTTTTAAAGCTGGAGAGTCTGGAGACCCAAGGTGGCTGCCAGCTTCGGGGGCCGTAGCATCCCTGTCCCATAACTGATGAAGACCCCAGGAAGGAATTTCATTCATATGTTGGGGGTGCGGTTTAGGCATCTTGCCCTTCGTGTCTCTTCGCCTGCCCCTTCTTTTCTTTTTTTTCTTTTCTTTTTTTTTTTTTCTTAGTTTCAGAAATGCTGTTAACTTTAATTTGTGGAGTTGCTTCCTGGGAGTGAAA